AGGCCGAGGTGTTTGCTGAACACCATTCCCGGCTCCTGCTGCCCAGGGGCCACAGGGACAGAGGACATGGCAGAGGAAGCCTGTGCCGAGGAGGCAACGCGGAACTAAATGGCACGAAGCACCGTGACAGGAACTGTCCGCGTGCTGAGGGCGGCCGAGTGTCCAGACCCCAGGGCGGGTGGGGTCGGCTCAGGTTTAAGAGGAAAAGCTAACACGAGGAGAAGAAAGACTATTTGAGGTCAGACAAATGGCTCATTTATTTATCTTCGTCAGATGTTTCTTGACCCTGTGCTGGGGCCCAGCGCTGTTCGTTCGCCGAGAATAAAACGGACTGAGGTTGCAGGAGCCGAGGCAGTGGAAACCAGCGCGCAATTCTCTCCCTGCGTGGACCGTACACGGTGGAGGGAAAGACTGCCCTAAAGAGGGGGGACGCAGGGCTCTCTGCAGAGCTAGCCGCTGAGACCTGGAGGGCGAGTGGGGTTTGCTAGAAGAGGGTGTGCAAGGAGAGTACCTCATGAAGAGTCTGGGTTGGGACCAAGCTTGTCCTTTGGGAGAAATGGGAAAAGCTGGCCTGGCTTGGGACAGAATTCAGAGAGTGGGAGACATCCTCAAAGTTCACCCGATTGCATGGAAGTCACTAAAGGGCGTAAGCAAAAAAAGTGGTGGCACTTACATCTTTAAAACGTCACTCAGGCTGCCGTGCGGGGAAGGACCTGGAGGCGAGGATTTTGGTTAGAAAGCCTCTGTCGGAGCCAGTGCAGTGATGGCGACGTGTCCTGAGATGGAAGGGGTGGCCACAGGGAGTGTGGCCGGACAGAGCTATCCTGGTCGCCATAGAGAGTGTGGCCAGGCAGAGCTGTCCAGGAGACGTCAGCAGGACTGGAGTGTGGAGCCGAGGTGTGGGGGGATAGCTAGAGTGACACTGATGTGGATTCGGGGTAGGCACTGCAGTCAAGAGTTCAGGTCTGAATTTGAAAAGCTTGAGATGCCACCCGGATGGCCGAGGGGAAATGTGGGTAGACACACACACACCGAAGCAGCAGGTGACTGCTCCCCGTGGAGAGCATCAGCGGCCACTGGGATGGATGAAATCTCCCAGGGAGTAGCCCTAGCCAGTATGGCTCAGTGGACAGTGTCAGCCTGTGGACTGAAGGGTCTGGCGTTTGATTCTGGTCAAGAGCATATACTCCGGTTGCTGGCTCCAGTACGGGGTATGCAGGAGGCAGCTGATCATTGATTCTCTCTCATCATTGATGTTTCTATCTCTCTCTCCTCCCTTCCTCTCTGAGATCAATAAAAGGAAGAAAGGAAGGAAGGAAGGAAGGAAGGAAGGAAGGAAGGAAGGAAGGAAGGAAGGAAGGAAGGAAGGAAGGAATCTCGCAGGGAGCATGTAGAGCAAGCAGAGTCTTGATGAACTGCCTTTTCAGGTAAGAGACAGAGAAGAAGCTGGACAAACAGCACAGCAGCTCGATGAAGGCAGTGAGTGAGGTGAGGAGGCTGTCAGCCACGGAGAATGATGCTGAGGAGGTGAGTGTGACATGGACATCATAGAGGAACTGAGTATGAGTGTGGAATGAATGGAACCTGCCTGTTGGAAGGAGAGGTGACAGAGGGAGAGATACAGTCAGATCTCCAGTGACGGTGGCTCAAAGGGAAGGCTAGAGAGACAGGCAGAGCTGAAGGAGGGGAGGGAGCTAGGCTCCTAAAGTTCCACCCAGGCCAGCGTCCTCCGCACCATAAGCCTGGGCTGATCCGAGAGTTCGTTCCCTTCCAGCTCGAGAAGACGATGCACATGGGCTACCCATCGGCCTCAGCTTCCCTCCTCCAACCTTAACATAGGACCCCATTTCTGGTTCAAACCTCCCTCAGGGAACCTCTTGAGTTGGACTCTATGATCCAAAACTTCCGCCATAAAGGTCTCATGTCTTCCTGAAAAGCCCCAGGTGCCCGGGAGATCCGAAGGCATGGAGTCCCTCCTGATACTCCGACCTCGACCTGGTCTTTTCCAGACCACATGTCCGAGGACCTCCCCCACACCCAGCCCCCCTCTAGAACCCTCTCCCCCAGCTCCACTTGGAAGCTCACTCCAGCCCCCCCCCCCCTCCCTGGCATTTGCCGTTTTCTCTTCAGAGTCAGTCTTCCTTGCCCAGTGGAATCTGGTCCATCCAAGTCCAGTCCAGTCCTCACGCCTCCAGAGAACTCTGCCCGGTGCCCCAGTTTCCCCAGCATCCCCCCACTTCTCACACCGAGGAGCAGGGAAGCTGCCCACATGTTCCAGAATGTCGGGGGCCCTCGGAAACACGGGTTTGTTGACAGGCGGGTTGAGAAAAGCAGCGGCCCCTCCTCACTGATGGAGACCCGCGTCTCCACGGCTGCGGCAGCAGGGCTCACGAGACAATTAGTGCTCCCCATCCCGCCTGCACAGAAGCATCGGAGCCAGTTCCATCACTTGACTTCAAGTTCAAGTGAAGCTCCGACCATCATGATCCTCATCAGCTATTTCAGAACCCTATTCTTGGAAACGTTAAAAATTTAAACCACGAAAGTTCACGTTTTCTATTAAGCCATGAGTAGAGTTTTCTTGCCGTTCTGAGTTGTGGATTTCCTCACAAAGGCAGCTTTCTAACCCCAGTCCTCTCATCTCGTCATGCTTCGAGTAATAACAAGTGATTGCGCACGGGTGCGGGTATTTTCCACTCGAGGGCCGGCGGAAGTGGACATAAAACCCAGCAGACTGCAGCGACGCATGTCATACGAGCTCTCGTTAAAAAGTTGACACTGGCCAAGTTCTTGGGCATCAGCATTTTGTGGGAATTGGTTCAATCAAATCTGGGCTCCAAGTGGCCTTAAACAGAGCAATTACTGCATCCACAGGGGGCGGGCGGAATCTGGACAGGGACCCAGCTTAACGGACTTTCAGACTTCTCGGGGACCGTCCTTACTCCCCGGCATCAACAACTTGAAAACCAACAACCTTGCAACACAGGAAGTAGCAAAAACAAAACAAAACAAAACAAAAAACCTTAGAACACTGGAAGTAGGCAAAGCTTTCCCCAGTCCCCAAGGTGAGAACTCCGCCAGGAGGGTCAGGGAACGCCGGCCCCTCAGCCTCAGCGCTGGCACCAATTCACGCCCATCAATGTGGGTTCCAGCAGGGACACACCCTCCCATGGAGTCCAGGAAGTTCAACCCCCCACCTCTGTTTCCATTTCCCTGCCACTTCTCCTGAGGTTGAACATATTTTCTTTTTGGGAGAATTCTTTACGTATTTGTCTTTGGTTTGCTTTTTAAAAGAGATCAAGGTAACCGAGAGTCCTAGATGTGTGGTCCTGGGAACCCCGAGGCTGTTTCTGTTCTGTCCCTCTGGCTCCTCTACTAGGGACCCAGGTTTCGATCACTGCCCGCCCCCCCCCCCAAGGTTATACTGCCCTCAGGGCCAGGCCGGGGGGCGAAAGGAGGGCACCCTTGCCCTGTACGGGCCTTTCTCTGACTTGGTTGGAAAAAACAGGTTTCTAAAAAACAAAATAAAACAAAAACAAAAACAAAAAAACCAGCTTGAAGAGACACGTATGTTCAAATATAATCATTCTTTTGAGGGCGTGTCTTTTTAAAAATGATGTGATGCACCCCAAATAACAGGTTCCCCATTTCTCAGACCCAGCCACCCCTGGGAAGGAAGAGAACGGAGTGTGGGGGCCTGAGGGCCGTGTTCACACACCTTCAGCAGAAACAGCTTTCTCCTGCCCCGAGCTTTTGTGCTGGAAAAGTGCAAACCCTCCCGGGGGAGGAGAAGTGAGCTGTCAGCATTCCTTTTAGCACCTCTGACCAGCGGGCTGCCCTGCTGCAGGGAGCCGGCGAGCGGTGCAGAAGGTGGCCTGACCCATATCCACACTCGCTGGGTGGACCTGGGGATTCTAGAGTTTGGGATTAATAACAGAAATGAGGCTGACTTCCAGAAAAGGGGCTCCCTATGGGCTGCAAGCTAATTAGGGTGCCCGGACCTGCCCTGGAACAGCAGGAGGAACGCAGGCCCAACCCTGTCAGCCGCTGCAGCCGCCACCCGCGCAGAGCCTGCTTCTGAAGGGAGGCTGGCGGGGAATTATGAACATTTAGTAAATAAGAGAGCCCTAGAGGCCACCGCACCAGCCACCGCACCAGCCTCGGTCCGCCCCTGGTGGCCGGGAGGCTGGGTCTGCACCTGGCCGCGCACAGGCACCAGCACCGACACCGACACAGCAGCAGCGCTGCTGAAAGCAGTTGGAGAGCTCCCAGATTCAGAGGAACGGGCCCTCCAGGCGCCGCAATGAGGAAAGTTCTGGAGTAAGTTTAGACCGTAGAGCACCACACGCACAGCGGGCGAACCTGCCAGGGCCGCTGGCACAGGCCCCCAGTCCTGCTCGGCCTGACGCGCCCGGTGCCCCTGCTCCCGCCGCCCAGAACGCCTCCCGAGGGCGCCCGGCCAGACGGCGGCTCTGCCGGGCTGGCCACTCCAGTTGGAAATGCCTCCGGCTCCCGGCCCGGGGGACCGGGGCGGATTTCATCAATCGCCATCCCCGCCAGGGCGCCCGGGACCTGCTTCGCCAAAGGACGCGCGGCACAGCCCATGCGCCCCCGCGCTCCCCTCCGCTCCTCTCTCCACAGGTCCCCCCAAACTCTTCCCGGAAAGCCCCCAAATCACAGGCGACGCCCCGAAACCCCCAGGGGGCCGGCCAGCCACCCTCAGCTCTCTCTCGAACACTCCTCGCCGCCCCGCACCGTATCCGCGCTCGCGGGGAGCCAGACGCAAACCACGAGGAACTGCTTCGCGAGGAGCCTCCCCGCGCCCGCCCAGTCCCTGAGACAAAAGCGCAGGGAGGGGGAGAGGGGGAAAAGGGAGGGAGCGGGAGGGAGGTGTAGACGGAGGATGGGAGAGCGGAGAGTAGGAGCTGGAGGAGGTCGGGTGGGAGCGGAGCCGGGGCCGCAGGGAGACCCGCTCGCGCCCCGCACAGCCGGTCGCTTACATGCCCAGGTCGCTGTAGGTGTTGAAGAACTCCATCTGGTTGCACGCCTGGATCCAGCCCACCACCCAGGTCTCGTGGCGAGGGATGGGGGGCATGACCACGCGCGCCGAGGCTTTGAAGTAGGGGGTCTTGTAGCGCAGGACGATGGGCGAGGTCTCCTCGATGCGCGTGGGGCACTGGTCGATGGTGGCGCACACGTCGTACACCACGATGTTCTCGCGCCGCACCCGCGCCTTGCAGGCGATGCTCTGGACGCAGCCCATCCTGCCGCCCGGCCTGCGCGGCGCGGGGCGCGGGGGCCGCCGGGGGCGCCCGTCACGCCGGCTCGGCCACGCGCCTCCCGCGCCCGGGGCGGCTCAGCGCGCGCCTAGGAGCGGGGCGCCGCCGCCGGCCATCCTCCGGGGAAGCCCCCTCCTCCCGCCGCCGCGCGGGGTCCCGGCGGCCCGCCCCCGCCCCGCCACGCCCGCCCCTCGCTCCGGCGGGGCGCGGAGCCTGCGCTCCTAGGCGGGGAGGGGCGCCCCCACCGGCTCCGGCGCCCGCGCGGAGGGCAGGGCAGGGAGCGGCGCTGCGGGGAGGGGCGCCCGCCTCGGGCCGGAGCCCGCCGCCCCTGGCCGGAGAGGCGGCGGCGGCCGCATGGAGCCCGGTTCCTCTGCCGCCGCCGCCGCTGCATGAACCTCTGCACCGCGGCCGCCCCCCGCGAGCAGCGCACCCAGCGGCGGGCGGCCGGCGGCGGCGGCGGAGGCGGGGGATGCGCTCCTCCGGCCCCGCCCGCGGCGGCCGCGTCAGCCCTCCCGCGGGGCCGGGGACGCCGCGGGGAGGGGGAGGGTGACGACCCGGGCGGAGGGCCGGCGGGCCGGGCGGCCGGGACGCGATCGTGGAGGAAACTGGCTGCGCGCGGAGTTTTGTCCCTCTCCGGCTGCCGTCCGCGTGGGGGGTGCTGTGCAGGGTGGGGGTGTTTAAAGGGCCTTGGGCGCCGGGCGAGGCCGACACGTGGACCGGGCCTGCAGGGCGGGGCTGCAGTGGGCGGTGCCCGGGCTGGGAGGGGCGTGGGGACCTCGCTGGAAGGGGCTGGGTGGGCGCGAGGTTTGGGGACCCGGCTGGATGGGGCTGGGTAGGCACGGGGGGTAGACGCCTTAGCCGGGCGGGGGGTGGGCGGTGGTGGTCGTGGAGGTGGGGACCGGCCCAGGCAAAGTGGGAGGGGGCGTGGGGAACAGGCGGGGGATTGGGTGGGTGGGAGGGGCGGGGTGGCGGAGAGGGGCGCAGCGCTGTCAGATTCAGGGTGGGAACCCTCAGTGCACGATGGAGGCAGAGAGGGGAGAGGGGGGCAGCCGTAGCTGAGAGGGGTTCTTTCTGTCATGAGCGCCCCGGGGCGTACCCTCCCTGTAGACGCTGAGGTCGGGCTCCGGCAGAGGTGCTAAGGGCAGCGGACCGAGGGTCTCCCCTGCCTTTGCCCTGGGAGCTTTCTTCCCACCGGGGTCTGGGGGGAGGGGACCTAACGCCCAGTCACCGAGAGCCCAGCAGTTTCGGTCGGAGCCGGAGCGGCGTCTACCTCCTGCCTGCCTCCACGCAAACCTTCCTGCCGAGAACACGCTCTTCCAGCGGCCGCAGCGCAGACCCAAAGCCGCACATGGACGCCGCGCTGTGGCCGCGGCTGCGTCCTCCGGGCTGTGCCCCGCGCGACCCCCTAGCTGCATTGAGGTCACCCCAGGTAACCTGTGACCCGCTGAGAACCAGGGGAACAGCTCTTGTGGGAACAGGACTGGGTTTCCTGCCCAGGATACCCTGTGTGGTTTGTATCCATCTCCCCCAGGAAGCCTGGAATCTCATGGTCCCTGTGTTGTCTCTGCACATGGTGGCGACCACAGTTGTGTGTGTGAACGAATGAGAAACTAAAGAGCCTCCCGGAAACCCTCCTCCCCCGCCACTGGGCATTGCATTCAGTGTGCCCACATCTTGTGTCTGACGTTGTGGTCAAGTGCGCAGAAAAAAAATATTTCGCAAATGCTGTTCCTGGGCATCTTTTATATTTTAAAAACTAGTAGCTTTTCTGTATTTTATGATTATGAGGCATTCACCGGTGCCCACGAGTGAAACTCTAACAGGCCGCAGGAGGCTGCCTAACATTCGTCCGTAGCCAGAACAGTTGTGGTAACTTAAACATTGGTGGAGATCTAAGCACTCTTCATCCTTGTTTTAATTTTGCTGGCATCTTGATTCACTTTATAATTAACAGAAAAAAGTAGTTTGGCCCTTTGATAACACGCTTCTCACACTTGACGAGGTAGCCCAGATCTCAGTCTCGTTCCGTTAGTCCAGCAAACGCTGCCTGCCTGGGAGCCGGGCGTGTGCAGAGCACCAGGGCTCAGAGGTGACCACAGCCCGGGGATCACTGGAGACACCCGGTTAACAAGCTGCCCCTGTACATTGTGACACGGGCTTTAATAGTGGTGTGTACCCAACCCCGTGGGATCCCGACCGCGGAGCCATGGGGCCACACCAGGCTGTCTTGGAGTAGTGACACTCAGAGCAGATCCTCAAAATGCTGACAGAAGCGCACAAAGAGGAGGAGCGTGAGAGGACGGTGGGGGCAAGAGCTGGGCAAATGCAAAATGCTGGAGGTGTGAAGAGAGACGATCATGGTCATGGTGCAATGTGTAGGGCACGGGCATCAGACCCCGCTTTTTTTTTTTTTTTAGACCCCGCATCTCGATCCCCTGAGGGAGCCAGTGAATGCAAGGTTAGCATTCTGAGAAAACTTACTTTGTCAGTGTGGAGACTAGACAAGGGGAGCTACCGGCAGTGTGTTGGGATGTTGTGATGACAGGTGACCTGGCCCTGAGGGAGGGCAGCTCCCTGGGCTGGAGAAGCCTGGCTGCATTTACGAGGTAAAATCTATTTCTTTGGTAACTGATGGGAGATGTTGGGGGAAGAGTCTGGCCAACTCTGAATTGTCCAGCGTCAGCAGATAAACTCGATCCGGATGGTCCAGACCAGGAGACAGGAGGGAAGCGGGTGAGGAGGGTGCTTTTGTGCTAAGTTTGAGGAACTTGGAGGGTGTTTTGTGCAGGGGCCAGAGTTTGCATTTCAGAGGTTATTCGATTCCAGGAAACAGACCAAGAGAAAAGCATTCAGTTGGGAGGTTTAGTTATCTTTGTTGATGTGAGTTACTTATCGGTGTGCAATGTTGTGCACAAGTGTTATCCTTTGTCCTCTGATAGCACAGGCTAAGCTTCATAAACAGGCGCAGCCACGGTCCCCTCCCCCAAATTATCGGACTGTCATATAAAGGAAAAGAATTTTTTTTTTTCAAACTTAAATCGAGACCATGCTCTAACAGTAGAGTGCCAGTAAAATGTAACTCATTACTCATGCACTTGAACCTTGACATTCTTAAAGGCTTCACCCCTGACCTTCACAAGTCTCCAAAACCATGAAAGTCACCATGACATATAACTCCCACTATAAAAAGCAGTAGAGTGTAACTGAAAAAGATGTAAGGGGCTCTTTAATGGTTTTATAACCTATGGGGCCAAGGTAATTTCTAAAACCACTTAAATAAATGTTGCTATTAAAATAAACTCCTTGCTGTATGACATCTGTACCTTATTAACTCTGTAGTTCCCTGACTCCGCAAAGGAAAACAGTCACACCAGCCTGGGAACTACTCCGTGGACATCGCCGAGAAGAGCTAAGCTGTGCTGGGACAGGGCTGCCAGGCAGTGGGCGTGGGTGTAGCTCAGTGGCTGGCCTGCACCCTGGCCTCCTGGCAGGCCATTCAGAGTTGTGTCTTAGCAAATTAAACCGAGGCCGAGACCTTTCGGGTTACTCGATGGGGGCTGTTTTCCCCAAGAATATTTGCTCTGCAAATGCCAACAGGCCTCCGCCTAGAGCTCAGAGGAGAGGACTCCCAGCAGCAGCCATGTCTCAGCGCCGCTCCTGTAGCTTATCTTCTTCTCCTGGCTGGACGTCTCCCCATCCCCTCGTAGTGTCCTGGTCCTGCCTCTGTAGCACCTCCCATGCTGTCCACAGTGGTGGGGTCACACTGGACCCCCTTGGTAGGCAGTTCACTCTCCAAGGATATGTGTCGTGAGGTCCTTTTGTCCAGCCTGGTGCCTGGTGCCTAGGAATGAATCAATAAATGTTTGGCCCTAGCCATTTTGGCTCAGGGGATAGAGTGTTGGCCTGAGGACTGAAGGGTCCTGGGTTCAATTCCGGTCAAGGACACGTACCTTGATTGCAGGCTCTTCCCTGGCCTGGACCTTGGTTGGAGCACATGCAGGAGGCAACCAATCAATGTGTTTCTCTCTCATTGATATTTCTCTCTGTCTCTCCTCCTCCCTTTGGCTTTCTCTAAAAATCAATGGGAAAATATCCTAGGGTGAGAATTTAAATAAATAAATAAATAAATAAATAAATAAATAAATGTTTGAATGACTTTATATGAGAAAATAATATTACTCACAACTTAACTCTAAGCTCCATCTCTTTACCTACAGCAAGCCTCTGTTTTTTCTTTAATATATATTTTATTGAATTTTCACAGAGAGGAAGGGAGAGGGATAGAGAGTTGGAAACATTGATGAGAGAGAAACATCGATCAGTTGCCTCCACACACCTCCCACTGGGGATGTGCCCGCAACCAAGGTACATGCCCCCGACCAGAATCGAACCTGGGACCTTTCAGTCCACAGGCTGATGTTCTATTCACTGAGCCAAAATGGCTGGGGCAAGCCTGTGTTTTGACCCCAGTGCTTTTGGCACCGTGCCTCCTCTCCCTCTCCCTGACATGCCTCCTGTGGTTAAGTGGTGCCCTTTGTCTGGAGTCTACCCGCAGTGCCCTCTCTAGGGTTATCTGTTCTGGGCACTGAGAAATGGAAACGCTGCAATGACAAGATCTCGATGACAATCCTTCCTTGTGAGTGACTTCGCCCGAGTTTATTCTCGGGGCACAGCACAGGCGCTCCTTTGTGCTTCGTGCGTTTGATGTCTCCTTGCGGACAGAGCCCCTCAGTTCCCGAGCCAGCGCCCGGAGCGCACCCCAGAGGCTGGGCGCGCCCTGCACAGGCCGCTCATTCGGCCTCCCATGACCCCAGGCTTGGTCTTTCCAGAAGCAGGCCATCCCCGGCTTCATTTCTGCTATTGATGGGCTCATTAATCATCAAGTGAGCTTTTCAGAAACTCTGGGTCACCAGGGCCTGCTTTCCAGTTGACCTTGGCAAGGCTTTTCGGAAACTGCAGGGCAGAGGACAAAAGCTGTTGCGGA